GCTGCTCAGCAGGTACCTGGCCCTGGGGGGCTCCTTGACGGGGCCCCTGCTCCAGGAAATCGGAGGCAGGCGCCTGTGCAACCTGCAGGAGGAGCAGATCCAGCAGATCCCTGCTGCAGCCATCGGGTGAGCCGCTTCTTGGGGCTGCTGCTCAGCCTGAGAGCCCCCAGGGCTCTGGGGAGGTGGGATGGAAGAGCCCCAGCTCTGTTGTGGATGTCCCCACTCCCAACCAGCACAGTGGGATGGCCGTGTCCAAATCCCAGATCTCACCTGAGCTCCAGGACCATGAGCAGGGATATCCCCCTCATCCCTCCCAGCACCAGAACAATTTATCTGCAATTTGGGGTGCTGTTGATGACTTGAGAGGCTGCCTGGAACAGAGGCTGGGCAGAGTTAAAGGAATAAAGCAGGGATTTATTAAAAGGCCTCAAAGGATACACCCTGGGCAGAACAAGAGCCTGGCTGTGGCTACCCCCAAGATGGACAATGGGTCAGGAGTTTTCACACTTTTATCAGTTTTGGTCCATTTCCACCTTGGGGTTCATTGTCCAATTCCAGCTCAGGTGATGCAGTCCCATCCTCCCAGACTGCTCTCCTCAATTCCCTGTTGTTTGCACTTTCTGGGGCTGAAGCTGCAGCGGTGTCCTTGGTTCTGGGGCTGGCAAAGGATTGTTCTGTGTGACTGAGCTGTGAGGAGAACTGCTGACACTTTATGTGAAGTCCAGAATGTACCAGGGCAGTCCAGAATCTGGAAATATGAAAGCTCAAACTTAAGGATCAGGGCTGACCTGTGCCCCCCTTCCAGGACTGCTGGGCAGTTGAAGATCTCTTCATGCTCCCAATCCAAGAAGAAGCAGCTCTATGGGAAGGCCCGGGAGGCCTTTGCCAGCCTGGCCAGCACCCCTGGCCCCTATTACTGCCAGATCCGGCCGTACCTGGGTAGGTGCTTCCCCTCCACCCTCCTTCCCACCACCAGGTTCGGGGTCTCTTCTCAGCCACAGACAGGTCTGGCAGTCTCCAGAACCTCCCCAAATCCTCCCCAGAAGTGCTGGAAGGGTTTGCACATCTCCAGGTGTCCCCTGGGCTGTCTTTAAGGTGGAGCTCCAGCAGAAGATCTGAAGAACTTGGCTAATGGTGGTGTGGCCATAAACATGGATCTGGACACCTTCCTCACCCTAAATCCTGAGGAATTGCAGGTACAGCCCTGGGTGCTGCTGTCCCTCTCCCCAGGGAAGGGCAGGGCTGGCTGAGGGCTGAGCAGGGGGAGCTGAGGTCAGAGCTCAACCAAATCACCAATTCTGCACTTTCCCACCTTTATAAATTTCCTTTAGGAAGTTCTAGCTGCTCTGCAGCCCCGTTAGCAAAGCCTTTGGGGCTGTGAGGGTGAGGGAAGGAGGTACTCTGTGTGTGTTGCAGAAACTCAGCGTCACTGACGTGAAACTTTTGCTGGGGGAAAACCTCCCTGAGCTGAAGGAGCACGAGCAGGAGCCCGCGGTGGTGAGCTGGGTGCAGCTGCAATCCCAGCGGGAGCTGGACTGCGTGCTGGGCATCGGCCTGCAGGGGGGGCGGCCCGAGCCCACGGGGACAGCCAGCCCTGCTGCCACCTCCACGGCCGCTGCCACCACCCCCGTGCCCACCACTGCAGCCAGTGTCACCTCCACAGCCACTGCCACCAGCCCTGTGCCCACCACTCCAGCCAGTGTCACCTCCACGGCCGCTGCCACCACCCCCGTGCCCACCACTGCAGCCAGTGTCACCTCCACGGCCGCTGCCACCACCCCCGTGCCCACCACCCCTGCCAGTGTCACCTCCACAGCCACTGCCACCAGCCCTGTGCCCACCCCTCCAGCCAGTGTCCCCTCCACGGCCGCTGCCACCACCCCCGTGCCCACCACCCCTGCCAGTGTCACCTCCACAGCCACTGCCACCAGCCCTGTGCCCACCCCTCCAGCCAGTGTCCCCTCCACGGCCGCTGCCACCACCCCCGTGCCCACCACCCCTGCCAGTGTCACCTCCACAGCCACTGCCACCAGCCCTGTGCCCACCCCTCCAGCCAGTGTCCCCTCCACGGCCGCTGCCACCACCCCCGTGCCCACCACCCCTGCCAGTGTCATCTCCATGGGCACTGCCACCACCCCTGTCACTGTCACCTCCATGGCCACTGTCCCCACCTCTCCTCACCCTGCCACCTCAGCCAATGTCACCCCTGTGCCCACCACTCCTGCCAGTGTCACCTCCACAGCCACTGCCACCACCCCTGTGCCCACCCCCCCTGCCAGTGTCATCTCCATGGGCACTGCCACCACCCCCGTGCCCACCACCCCTGCCAGTGTTACCTCCATGGGCACTGCCACCACCCCTGCTGGCCCCACCTCTGTCACTGTCACCTCCATGGCCAGTGTCCCCACCTCTCCTCACCCTGCCACCTCAGCCAATGTCACCCCTGTGCCCACCACTGTCCCCACTGTTCCCAGCACCTCGGGCAGTGCCACCACCCTCCCCACTGTCCCCAGCACCTCAGCCAGTGTCACCACCCTCCCCACTGTCCCCAGCACCTCAGCCAGTGTCACCACCATCCCCACTGTCCCCAGCACCTCAGCCAGTGCCACCTCCATGACCACTGTCCCCAGCCCTCCTCACCCCTCGGCCATTGTCACTGTCCCCACCACCACTGCCATTAGCAGCCACTCGACCCCTCAGCAGAGCACAGTCCCCCCCAGGACCCCAACCCCCCCAGGCACCCCCCCACACACTGGGGGTCCCCTTGTCCCCCCTGTCCCCACTGCCACCTCCACTGCCCATCCCTCTGTGACCAGCGCAGCGCCCTGCTCCACCCAGCAGGCCCCCAGCACAGACAGAGCCACCTCCCCTGCTGTCACCCTGCTCAGCACCCTCCTGGCCACCAGCAGCCCCAGTGCCACCCCAGTCCCTGCTGTCACCTCCGGGGCCACCACCAGCACTACTGTGGGCACTAACCCAGCTGGTACCACCCACAGCACTGTCACCCCTGTCCCCAATCCCACCTCTGCTCCCACTGTCACCTCTGTCCCCAATCCCACCTCTGCTCCCATTGCCACCCACAGCACTGTCACCACTGTCCCCAATCCCACCTCTTCTCCCACTGTCACCCCTGTCCCTAACCCCTCCTCTGCTCCCACTGCCACCCACAGCACTGTCACCACTGTCCCCAATCCCACCTCTTCTCCCACTCCCAAACCCTCCTGTGCTCACACTGCCACCCCTGTCCCTCACTCCTCCTCTGCTCCCACTGCCACCCACAGCACTGTCACCACTGTCCCCAATCCTACATCTTCTCCCACTGCCACCTCCGTCTCCAATCCCACCTCTGCTCCCAGTGCCACCCACAGCACTGTCACCACTGTCCCCAATCCTACATCTTCTCCCACTTCCAATCCCACCTCTGCTCCCAGTGCCACCCCTGTCCCTCCGTCCCCCTCTGTCCCCAGTGCCACCCCAGCCCCACACACGCCCACCCCAGTTCCCAGCTCCACCATCCCCACCCAGACAAGCCCGGGCTCCTCCACGGCCGCGCCGTGCCAGCCCAGCTCCCCTGCCAGCCCCAAACCCACAGCTGGGAGCGTCCCAGAGCCAGCACAGACACCCTCCAACGGCTACATCAACCTGCAGCCTGAGCCTGGTGAGCTGGGAACGTGGGAAACCTTGGGAATGCCGGGGAGGACCAAGCTGGCTGATCCCCCCAGCTCCTGCTGGGATTCAGCGCTGGGGGACGGGTGGGGACGTGGCCCTGGGGCTGCCCTCAGGTTCTCAGGTCACTTCAAGGTGTCCCATCACCTCCTGAGCCCACAGCCCTCCCCAGGCAGCTGGAGAATCCCATTGCTGCGTTCTCCCTGCAGGATCAGGATCCAGGCTCTGCTCCTGCCTCGCTCTCCTGCTGGCAGCCACCGTGGGGAACGTTCTGCTGCTCTGAGCCCCCCTCAGCACCAGCCACCCTGCACACCCCTCCCTCCATCCCAGTGCAACTGCGCCGGGCAAGTCCCTGCTGGGCAGCAGGACCCCAGGAAAGGGAGGAGAATGCATCCACATTTGATTCCAGCACAGGATTTGATTATTTTTTGAGGCTGGCCAGTGAAGGACAACTTCATTTGTTGTTTTTCCAGCCCAGAGAAGCCCCACAGGTCCTTACTAGAGATTTACTCCCTGTAGTACAACCAGCAGTGCTGCTGACTGCTCTGCCAAGGCAAGAACACCGGGCCCAGCTCCTGCAGGGATTTCCTGTCCATCCCATCCCACTGGGATCTGTTAAACAGTGGGAAACTCAGGGATTTGAGTCACTGGTGGCCCTGCACTGCAGCTGAGAGATCCCCAAAAATCCTATTTAACTTCTTTCACGAGCTGCTTTTTGATCAAGGTTTGTTCAAACCACACACAGACTGTCATGGGATGATTAGCTGGAGATAAATTATCTTGATTACTGTTCAGTGCTATACAATAAAACATCAGTCTGGTTTTTCCTAATCCAACGTGTCCTTTGAGGTGTTTAGTGCTTTGTGGGGAAGCTTTTCCAGCATAAATCCAAAATCTGCACTGAAGGACAGATTCCCTCTCTAGAAAGCTCAGACAGTGAAGATTTATAAGACATGAGATCTACAAATCCCTTTTTCCCTCCCAGATTCTCCTCCTGGAGGAAAGGGGAATGTCAGGAGCTGGATACAGGTTTCACTGATGGGTTTTTTTTTTTTGACAGATATTTCCAATGAGTGGGGAAAAAAATATGGAAAACCTTGTGCAAAGTTCCTTTCCTCCACGTGAGGAAGCTGAGAACAGTTTCAGCTCCTAAATGTTGAACAGCCAACTCCAAGGAACAGGAACAGGCAGATCCTGGGATTCTGAGCCTTCATTTTTGGGGATTCCTGCAGACAGGAAGGTGAGGGCAGCCCCAAGGAAGAGCAGACACTCATCAGTTTGCTTCTGGCATTTTTACTCAGTTCCAGGATTTATTTACAAGCAGCTGGCAAACTTCAGTCCCACCCTGAGGTCTTGGCAGTGTCACGAGGTCAGGCTCTGGGAAATGTCATTTTTAACCTGCAGGACTCACCCTTAAACCCAGCACTAAGATGGGGTTTAGCAGTGGTTTGGAGCTGAGCTGGGCTTGGGCTGTCCCAAAGGCAAAGATCCTGCACCAAAGAGTCTGAATCTTCCCTTCAGACAAAACTGGGATTTTTTTTTCCAAGTGATTTGAAAGCCAAAAGTACCTAAAAGTGAGTTCTGGGCTGATCCCAGCTGCCTGGAGCTCTGGGCACTCCTGAGGCCAGGCCTCAGAGCAGGTCACAGGCTGGTCCCTCTTGGTTCCTGGTGGGAGGAGATGGTCAGGAGAGGATGGACACCATGAAGAAGCTGAGGAGCAGGGCGGGCAGGAGGTGGAACACCGTGGCCACGGCGCCCAGAGGGGCTGAGGACATTGCTGGAGGACAAAGAGGGCATCAGAGCAGAGAAATCAGTGACTGAACTGTGGGAAACGGATTTGTAGAGATAAGATTTGTTCCAAGATAAGAAATGCTGGCTTAGAAATGCCATGGAATGAGACAGGAATTGTTGAGAGAGGGAAATGGAACTAGAAGCAAGTTTTAAAGGATGGCCTTGCAAATAAGGCTGGATACTTTGGAGAAGTAGAACTATGAAAGATGCATTTTAGGACCCACAAGGGGTAATTTTAGATTATTAACTTTAAGGCATTTACAGCATGGTGTGGCTAAAGCTGATAGGCCCAGAAATGCTTATAATATAATTCAGAAATAGTTGGATTCTGATTGTGCTGGTGTGAGTTGTAACATCTGCATTGTCTCACCCTTCACACGAGACTGAAAATGGAATAAAAGTTTTTAAAACACATCTCAGCTACCCCATCTTAAAGTAAGAAAACAACTTAATCTGACAACTGAACCACTCCTCCACGGGGAAAACATCTCCCTGTGCCCCCTGCAGGGATTCTCTTCTCCTGTGTAACCACGGCTAACACCAAGCTGAGTTTGGGTTGGAACTGGAGGATCCTCAAGTTTCCTCCAACCCCAACCCCTGTGATCCTGCTTCTAAGCGAGGAGGAAGGCCTGGAAGTGGTCAGAATGAACCCCAAAAGTGGATAAAATTAACCCAGAATTCACCCCAAAATTAACCTAAAAATGGCCAAAACTCACACAAAATTCACCCCAAATTTAACACAAAAATGGGCAAAATTAACCCAAAAATAACCCAAACTCCCCCCAAAACCATGCAAAATAAACCCAAAAATTCACCTAAAATAAACCCAAAATGAACCTAAGAATGGGAAAAATGAATCTCAAATTACCCCAAAATTAACCCAAAGTTCATCCAAAATGAGCCTAAAATTCACCCAAAATTCACCAAAAATTAACCCAAAAATAACCCAAACTCCCCCCAAAACCATGCAAAATAAACCCAAAAATTCACCTAAAATAAACCCAAAATGAACCTAAGAATGGGAAAAATGAATCTCAAATTACCCCAAAATTCATCCAAAATGAGCCTAAAATTAAGCCAAAATTCACCAAAAATTAACCCAAAGTTCACCCAAAATTCACCAAAAATTAACCCAAAGTTCATGCCAAAATTGAGCCAAAATTAACATGAAAAACAGGGAAAACTCACCAAAAATTAAGCCAAAATTTACCAAAAATTAAGCCAAAATTAAGCCAAAATTAACGTGAAAAACAGGGAAAAACAACCCAAAATTAAGCCAAAATTCACCAAAAATTAAGCCAAAATTCACCAAAAATTAAGCCAAAATTAACATGAAAAACAGGGAAAAACAACCCAAAATTCACCCAAAATTAAGCCAAAATTAACATGAAAAACAGGGAAAAACAACCCAAAATTCACCCAAAATCAACCCCAAAACCAGGAAATTCAACCCAAAATTCACCCAAAATTAAGCCAAAATTCACCCAAAATTAAGCCAAAATTCACCCAAAATTAAGCCAAAATTCACCCAAAATTAAGCCAAAATTAACATGAAAAACAGGGAAAAACAACCCAAAATTCACCCAAAATTCAACCAAAATCAACCCCAAAACCACGAAATTCCACCCCAGATTCACCCAAAACTCATTAAAAACCACCCCGAAACCACCCCAAAAGCACCCCAAAAGCAAGCCGTCACAGCCCGCCCGCCAGGCCCCCACGGCACCTGGGAATCTGGGGGCGGCGAGGTTGATGTAGCCCTCCTGCACGCCCCCCGTGAGCCCCGGCAGCAGCCGCTGCAGCTCCGCCTGCTTCTGCAGCGCCAGCCAGTCGCGCACGGGGCTGCGGCCGCGCCACCGCGCCAGCTCGGGCAGCTGCACGCCCAGCAGCCCCCGCACATCGGCGGGGCTCAGCAGCTGGGAAAACAAAAAGGGACACACAAGGGGTGCTGTGTTAGAGGTAGAAGTGAGAAGCAAAAAAAATTTAAATTATTACTTGAAACCCGATAAAATGATTTAATGCGGAATATTTTATATAGATTATATATGAACTATATATTTGTATTATTTGTAGTGTATATATACATTACACATTTTACATACATTACACATGATATATAAATACTTATCTATACTTAAATACATTTAAATATAAACATATGGACATAAATTTATAGAAAATAACTATAAATATAAATTAAGACATATAAATATATATTTATATTTAAATATATTTAAATATAAACACATACACATAAATGTATATAAAATAAATAGAAATATAAAATAAGACATATAAATACATAAATATATATTTACATTTAAATATATTTAAATATATTTAATTATATATATATATTATATTTATGGCCTGCCCCCTGCCACTGTGAGAGCCTGCCCTGAATGACCGCCACTGCCTTTGCATCCATCCAGGACTCCAAATTCTATTTTTCAAGGAATTTCAGGCCCTTTCCCCACTTTCTACTGGTCCAACAGAAGAAATTTTGGATTCGACGGAACTTGGATTTGACAGAATTTGGATTTGACGGAACTTGGGTTTGACGGAATTTGGATTCGACAGAATTTGGATTTGACGGAATTTGGATTCGACGGAATTTGGATTCGACGGAATTTGGATTCGACGGAATTTGGATTCGACGGAATTTGGATTCGACGGAATTTGGATTTGACGGAACTTGGGTTTGACGGAATTTGGGTTTGACAGAATTTGGGTTTGACAGAATTTGGATTTGACAGAATTTGAGTTTGACAGAATTTGGGTTTGACAGAATTTGGATTTGACAGAATTTGAGTTTGACAGAATTTGGGTTTGACAGAATTTGGATTTGACGGAACTTGGATTCGACGGAACTTGGATTCGACGGAATTTGGATTCGACGGAATTTGGATTCGACGGAATTTGGATTCAACGGAATTTGGATTCAACGGAATTTGGATTCAACGGAATTTGGGTTTGACAGCATTTGGGTTTGACGGAACTTGGATTTGCTGATTTCCACCAACGGACAACACGAGCAACCCCGAGCACTGAACCCCCCAAAACTCGGGGAACCAAAGAGCTCCGAGGCCCAGCTCACCATCAGGGCGTCTCTCCTCAAGGTCACAAAGGTGCTCACGTTCATGTTCACGTCGTCCCTGCTGAGAACCTTCAGGTCTGCGGCTGGAGCCCCCCCTGCGCCAAAGCAAGGAGAACACCGAGGATGGCAGAGCCCAGAGCGGCACAAAATGAGGATTGCTCCAAAACCCATCAGCCTGGGGCTGCTGGCACGCTGCTGCAAAACAGGGGGGTGCTCCTCCTTTTTTTATTGGCAGTTATTTTGTTGGGCAGTAAAAATCTGTGGCCAGAAAGTGGAAAGGAGGATGAGGAAAAGTTGGGAAAAATCTTGGCTTAAAGGGAAAAAAAACCCCAAAACCTTGGCTTAGAAAAAAAGAAAAACAAAAGTGACATGGAAAAGGGCTTTGAGATTCATTCTGAGTTTGATTTTCTTGGTCTGGAAACAGATTTGGGCAACTTAAAGCAGGCACAGAATATTTTGTGCTATCTAAAAGCTGGAAAGACAAACTTTTAACAACTTGACTAGGAAGATTTCCAAATCTTTGATGGATTTTGATACTCATTTCGTTTGTGGCTAAGAGTTCTCTTTCCCCACAACATCCTGGATTTGTACATACCCAGGTAAGGTAAAATCAGCTCATAGTAAGCAGGTGAATGGTGCTGGTCAGAGAAAGCTTCTTTGGCTTTCTGGTACAAGAGGTTCTTCGTCTCCTGAGAACAGGCTGAAGGATCCAGAGATACCAGCCTGCAGAAAAATAAAGGTTTAGGGTGAAAAAAGCTTTTGTTATCTTCAACAAGTTCAATTTTCCCATAGTCTGAGTGTTTTGCTGGGATTCTCTGCACGGCACAGGTGATCCCCAATTCCCAGCTCTATGGAGAGAAGCTGAGAGGAAAAACAATGGCCCAGGTTCCTGCTGAGAATTTGTCCCTCAAGTGATGATGGCTCTGATGGTGCCCAATAAATCTGCGTGTTTGCCAAGCATAATTCATTAATTGCCAAGATAATTTCATTTACCAGTCTTTAAGAGGAGTTCAAACTGGAAATGCTTAAAAACCACGAGGACGTGGCACTTGAGGACGTGGTTTAGTGGTGAGCTTGGTGATGATCTGAGAGGCCTTTTCCAACCTAAAGAACTCCGTAATTCCATGAAATTCTATTTAATTAACTCTTCTGCAGATGAAAGCAGGCACAGAGTCAGATTTGCAGCCCGCTGGGCTGAAATAGAGTTGGATCAGGAATCTGAGCCCCGCCTGGCAGCTCCTAAGGTGCTTCCTAAATTCCCTTTCTCTGGGAGCAAAAAAAAAAAGGAAAAGGATGGGAAAGGGCTTTTGGAAGAAGCCCAGGACACCCCAGCCTGGGACTCACTTGAGGCTGGAGGGGTCGATGGCCTTCAGCTCGGTGGCACTGAGCAGGCACACGTACTTGGTGCCAATGGCATCCAGGGCCGTGGCATTCAGGGCATTGCCCAGCTCCACGTAGCGTTTGATTGCCGCCGACGCCTGCAAACACAATTAATTTTACTGCACTGATTTAATGGCATCAGAAGGTGTGGTTTCACCCCCGAAAGAAACTCTGCCTTAGAATTGCAAAAATAAGATGGAACCGTTTTATTTTATCGTGTTGCGGTGAATTTCGTGTTAGAGATGGAAATGAGATAGTTGGTTTTTGGTGTAGAATAGTTATTTTTTTATTGTACGCCATTTTCATATTAATTTATTATTTTTAATTTTAATTTTATTCATCATTATTTATTTTTATTAATTTTAAGAATTATTTTTATCGCATACCATTTTTATATGGTATTAGAAGGTTTTGTGTTTGAATTTAATTGGTTAGTAATCTAATGAAATTTAGTTCATTGCTTGGTAAGGGTTATTGTTTATTAAACAATATATGTTATATATTTGTATATATAACATATATTTCTATATTTGTTATATATTTGTATACATAACATATTTCTATATGTAACATATATTTCTATACATGTTATCTATTTCTATATATGTTATATATTTCTATAGATGTTAAATATTCCTATGTGTAACACATATTTCTATAGATGTTATATATTCCTATAGATGTTATATATTCCTATATGTAACATATTTCTATATGTACAACATATATTTCTATATATGTTATATATTTCTATAGATGTTAAATATTCCTATGTGTAACACATATTTCTATAGATGTTATATATTCCTATAGATGTTATATATTCCTATATGTAACATATTTCTATATGTACAACATATATTTCTATATATGTTATATATTTCGATGTGTAACATATATTTCTATATATGTTATATATTTCTATATGTGTAACATATATTTCTATATATGCTATATATTTCTATATGCAACATATATTTCTATATATGTTATATGTTTATTAAACATTTTATAGATATGCTTATATCTTTTAAATGGAATTTTATGGGATAGACTTCTTGTTTTCATAGTCGTGAACTTTTTTTTACAACAACAGATTGTTGTGCTAACTGATTTTTATTATTTTTTTTAATAAATGGGAATTTAATAGGTTAGTTTACAACACAAAGCCTGATTTTACAAGGCCTTTCTTTGATAAAGTTCACGTTGATTGGGCCACCCAAAATTGTGGCACCAAAGATGCTCTGACCCCCTCAGAGCCCAAAGCAGCCCCCCCAAGAGCCGAGCCCCTACCAGGGAGTCCGAGGGCCGCGGCTCCGTTGTCAGGAACGCTGCCAGCGTGTCGGCGGAGCTCAGCTGCCAGGTGGAGATCTCCTCCGGGCTGAGCAGGGGCAGGAAAGGGCCCATCTCAGCGAGAACGTGCTGGGGATAACCACGGGGATAGCTCTGTGGAGACACCGCGGGCACGGGCTTGGAGCGGGGCTCGGGGAGCCGGGCTCAGCCTGGGCAAAGGTGGCACGGTTTTAGGGCTGTTTGCATCTCTCTGGTTGGGATTGGAGGGAGGACGGAGCCACGTTCCTGTCAGAGGGGGCCTGTGAAAGGCTGAGGGCCAACAGGGCAGGAAAACCCTGATTAGATGTAGAAATGAGAGATAAGAAATAAATGTATTCCCAGTAAAGGTGGTTAAACCGTGGGAGAGGAGCTGAGAGACAGTGGAGTCACATCCTTGGAGATCCTAAATTGTCCAGGACAAGGCCCTGAGAAATCCCATCAGTGGAAATTTGAGTCACACCCTTGGAGATCCTAAATTCCCCAAGACAAGGCTCTGAGTGATCCCATCAGTGGAAATTTGAGTCAAACCCTTGGAGATCCTAAATTCCCCAAGACAAGGCCCTGAGAAATCCCATCAGTGGAAATTTGAGTCACACCCTTGGAGATCCTAAATTGCCCAGGACAAGGCCCTGAACAATCCCACCAGTGGAAATTTAAATCATACCTTTGGAGATCCTAAATTGCCCAGGACAAGGCCCTGAGTGATCCCATCAGTGGAAATTTAAATCACACCCTTGGAGATCCTAAATTCCCCACAACAAGGCCCTGAGTGATCCCATCAGTGGAAATTTGAGTCAAACCCTTGGAGATCCTAAATTGCCCACGACAAAACCCTGAGTGATCCCATCAGTGGAAATTTGAGTCACATCATTGGAGATCCTAAATTGCCCATGACAAAACCCTGAGTGATCCCATCAGTGGAAACTGGACATTTTTGGGCTGGAATTACCTCGTGCAGGTATTCCTTCAGCACAGCCAGCTGGGGGATGCTGAAGGGGTAGGTGAGGACCTGGGAGAGGTGATTTTCCAGGAAGAGGCGATTTTCCTGGGAGATGTTCTGGAGGCAGGCACGCAGGATCTCCGGTGGGATGTAGAAGGCAGGCATCAGGTCATCACTCAGAACTTCCTCTGTTATCTCCCGCCCAGGTGGGCATCCTGCTGAAGCCATGGCAAACTCAGGGTTAAATTAAATCCTTCCACTCCAAGCTTTGGATCCCAGAATCATTTTGGTTGGAAAAACCTTCAAGGTTGAGCTCTGCCCGATCCCCACTTTGTCACCAGCACCGAGTTCCTTGGACACCTCCAGGGATGGGGACTCCAAACCTCCCTGGGAGCCTCTCCCAAGGCCTGAGGAGCTCCAGGGTGACCCCTGGTCCCAGAGGGAATGTCAGGGTGACCCCTGCTCCCAGGGGGAATGTCAGGGTGACCCCTGGTCCCAGAGGGAATGTCAGGGTGACCCCTGGTCCAGGAGGGAGTGTCAGGGTGACCCCTGCTCCCTGTGGGAATGTCAGGGTGACCCCTGCTCCCAGGGGGAATGTCAGGGTGACCCCTGGTCCCAGAGGGAATGTCAGGGTGACCCCTGCTCCCAGGGGGAATGTCAGGGTGACCCCTGCTCCCAGGGGGAATGTCAGGGTGACCCCTGCTTCCAGGGGGAATGTCAGGGTGACCCCTGCTCCCAGGGGGAATGCTCTGGGTCAGGGCAGCTCCGTACCTTCCGCTCGCTTGTGCCGCCGGGGCAGGAGCTCCCCGACGATGGTGCCCAGCTCCTCCCTGGACAGAGAGGAATCCCAGGCAAAGTTCCTCAGCCAGGTGATCAAAGCTTTCTGCAAGGAAAAGGGACCATCGGGGGGATTTGGGAATGCTGGATGTGCCTCCAGCACAGCTCCTGCTCCTCACACAGCGGGCTCTGAGCATGGAGATCCTGAACCAAAAGCAATTCCTTAAATGTTTGAACTCTCCCTTTGCCCAGCCCATCAGTGACTGGAGCTCCTCACAAAGCACTGGGAGAGTTATTCCTGCCCTTCCCAAGTGACAGGAAGGGACTGGCAGTGACCTGGATTTGCAGTTCCAGCCTGTCAGCTCTGATGCCTTCAGTTTGAGCTTTCATATTTCCAGATTCTGGACTGCACTGGTACATTCTGGACTTCACATAAAGTGTCAGCAGCTCTCCTCACAGCTCAGTCACACAGAACAATCCTTTGCCAGCCCCAGAACCAAGGACACCGCTGCAGCTTCAGCCCCAGAAAGTGCAAACAACAGGGAATTGAGGAGAGCAGTCTGGGAGGATGGGACTGCATCACCTGAGCTGGAACTGGACAATGAACCCCAAGGTGGAAATGGACCAAAACTGATAAAAGTGTGAAAACTCCTGACCCATTGTCCATCTTGGGGGTAGCCACAGCCAGGCTCTTGTACTGCCCAGGGTGTATCCTTTGAGGATTTTAATAAATCCCTGCTTTATTCCTTTAGCTCTGCCCAGCTCTGCTCCAGACCCCAGCCCCATGAACCCTCCCTCCCACACCCCCATCCCTCTGGCAGCAGCTGCTTTAAAGGAAGAACTGCTGGAATCAGCCTGGCTGAACCCCCCCAGCAGCCCCCAGCCCCATTCCCAGCCCAGCCGTGCCCCCCAAGCCCCCCAGGCCGGGGGCAGAGCCCACCTTGGGGATCTGCTGCAGGATGCTGGGGTCCAGCACGGGGAGCAGCCCGCCCAGCTCGCTCAGGGTGAAGGCTGACCACGCTGCAGGAGGCCTGCAGACAAAAAAAATGTGTTGCAAATAAGTGAAACCTTGTAAAAGAACAGCCTTATAAACGTGATTTAAACCTTACTACTCCAACTAAGCTGTTACATTCCCATAGGAAAAGAATTATAAAAATAAAAATCAATTTACATAACGATCTGTTCTTGTAAGAAAACAGTTGGCACCTATAAAAATAAGAAATAATCTTGTAAAAATTTATAAATAAAAAATATAAACTATCAAGAAAGAGAAAAGTTTAATAAACATGTACACTAACCATTACCAACCAATCAACTGAGTTTCAATCATTTACTAATCTGTTAAATTCAAACACAGTACCTTCTAATATCACATAAAATGAGCTATCTACAATAAAAATTCAGCTATTCTACACAAAAAAACAAGTGTCTCATCTGTCTCATTTCTATCCCTAACACAAGCCACAATGAAAATGAGCAGGTATCAGCTGTCAAGGAAGAACAAAAGGGAAAAAAACACCTTTAAATCCCCCAGGATTACATCCTTGCAACACGTGACGTTAAGAAAACATAAAGTTTAAGCCCTAAAACACCTCAACCACTTCCTGTTGCACAAAATGCCATTGCAGCAGAGCAGAAGTTGTCAAGGTCATAACTCAGGGCAGCTGGGTGGGAAAATGGCCTTGAACAAACACATTATTTTCTTAAGGCTCCTTCTGGAACCCAAAGAATTTCTGTTGCTTGCTGTGGTCCAATTCAGTGCCAAGATCCTGGGGCAATTGACCCAGGAAGGAAAATATTTTACTTCCCTGTGTGTTAGAATAGGGATTTATCTAACACCTCTCACTGGACAGGCAGAATGTCAGCACAGACTTCCAGGAGACAAACAGCTTGACCTCACCTGTGATCACCAGGCCAGGCAGAGAAGTCTGATTAATGAAAAATCAATTTTTGATACTGGGGGAAAAGCTTTTATAACGAGCAAGAGAGACACAGAAGTGACCACGTTTTTCAGGAGAATTTCACCCAGGCCTTTCAGCTGAAATAATTTCTACCAAACAACATAAAAGGCCCAGTGCAAAGCTCAAAAGCAAGAAGATTTTTGGGTTTTTGACCAAGCTGCTTGGCTGGAGTTCACCCAGGCCTTAACAGGACCACGGGTTTGATTAAGGGAACAACCCAGGAGGAAAATCCTTACCCAAAGGTGGTGTTGCCACTGCTGAGGACGTCCCTGATGGCCTCTTCTTGCTCAGGCAGGAAAGACCCACAGTGGCTCAAACCCCTCAGCAAAGTGCCCCCAGAACTCCTGATGTACTCCCCCCCCAGGTCACACACCAGCCAGCCCAGGATCTCAGCGTTTCCTTTATTTATTTGTGTGCCAGGAATGCCCTGGAATAAAGGCAGAGGCATTAGCTGGGATGGAGCATCCCCGGACCCCAGTTCCTGCAGGATCCCTGTTCCTGCAGGATCTCCATCCCTGCAGGACCCCCATCCCTGCAGGATCCCAATCAAGCCTGCAGGATTCTCATCCCTGTGGGATCCCCAATCCCTGCAGGATCCCAATCAAGCCCTGCAGGATCCCCATCCCTGCAGGAACCCAGTTCCTTCAGGATCCCAAACCAATCCCTGCAGGATCCCAATCAAGCCCTGCAGGACCCCAAGCCCTGCAAGATCCCAGTCCCTGCAGGATCCCACATTCCTGCAGGACCCCAGTTCCTTCAGGATCCCAAATCCCTGCAGGATCCCAGTCCATCAAGCCCTGTGGGACCCCAATTCCTGCAGGATCCCAATCAAGCCCTGCAGGACCCCAGTTCCTTCAGGATCCTCAATCCCTGCAGGATCCCAATCAAGCCCTGCAGGATCCCCATCCCTGTGGAATCCCCATCCCTGCAGGATCCAAATTCCTGTAGGATCCCAGTCCATCAAGCCCTGCAGGACCCCAGTTCCTTCAGGACCCCAATCCCTGCAGGATCCCAGTCCCTCAAGCCCTGCAGGATCCCCATCCCTGCAGGACCCCAATTCCTGCAGGATCCCCATCCCTGCAGGATCCCAATTCCTGCAGGATCCCAGTCCATCAAGCCCTGCAGGACCCCCAATCCCTGCAGGATCCCATCCCTCTCCTCCTACCAGGCACTCCAGAGCCTCCAGGAGCAGCTGCTGCCTCTGCGGGGCCTCTCTGGGCAGAACATCCCCGTTTGCCTTCCCAACGTGGATGAAGAACTGGCTGCAGTTCCCTGCATAGTCCGAGGGGCTGGAAAGACAAACTCCATGGATTTTGGGGAATGAGACCAAGCTCAAGGCACCCCATGTCTGACAAAACATCTTCTACACCTGCGCACCGAACTCCAGGAGCTGCTCTTCCCCAGTTTTCTGCTGCGCCATTAAATCCTTCAAAAATTCCTGAAGTTTAAAAAATGGTTCTTTAAAAATCTGTTTTGACCTGAAGGAATTTGTTGTGTGAGGCACAGCTTAAAATTGTTCAAGGTTTGGGTGCAGAACCACAGCAGGAAGGTACTGGAACAGGGGAATTCACTTTATTCCCTGTTTTCTTTGGTGTTGTAAGGGAAAAGCACATTCAGAGGCCTGGGAATGCTAAACTTGGCCTTGGCCTCTGCCTGGGATGGGGCAGCCTCAGCTTCTCTGGGAAACCTGGGCCTCCCCACCCTGACAAGGAAGGATTTATTCCAATATCTCATACAAATCTCCTCCTCCAGCTTTCTGCAATCCCATTTTTAATTCCCCAGGAAGAGGCCTAAACAAGCTCTGAAATAGAAATCAAATTAGCCAGCCTGGTTATAAACTAATCTTTATTTTTTCTATGTTGCTCTAAGGCAAGATGATGAAAAGCACAGCACAGTTACCTTAAAAACAGCAGCAGGTCTTGGGGATAACTGTCCAAATCCTTGGGAATCCCATGCAGAGTCACCATCTTCAGCAAGCAGCTCAGCTGGAAGGACACCAGAGATTGCAGCAAGGACAGAAACCACCACGAAACACAAGGAAAAGATAAAATAATGTAAACATTTTATGCTGCTCTGAAGAAAGAAAAAAAAAAAACAAGAGAGGGGGAAAAAATGGAAATCAAAGGGCTTGGATTTCTCCTTTTTTCAGGGAAACTCAGCTGTGGGAGGGACACCCAGGACTTTTGTCCATAGGAAGGGACCACAGGGACCACCCTGACACCCCAACAACCCCCCCTGTCCCTGGGTCACCCTCTGGGGGCAGAACCTGTCCCTAAAACCCATCCTAACCCCCCTGGCACATCCCTGCTCCAGCCCCTGGGCTCCAGGGGCTGCTCTGGCTGAACAATTTCCTTTAGCTCATGCAGGACACCATCAAACCCTTGGGAATGTGGGCATTACCTGGTCCTGGCCCAGCCTGACCTTCTTCTTCCTCATGACCCTGGCCAGCTCCTGGAACCTCTCTGCCCCCACAGCGCTGGCAGCCGCACAGGTGAAGCCCTGGAGCACAGACTGGGAGAGCCTGGGAATTCCCAGCAGGAAAATCAGAAGGGAAAAGCCTTCAGGAAGGTGAATTCAGAGCAAAACTCTGCTGACCCCACCGTTTTTTCCAGATATAAATCTTTGTTTTCATAATTTTCATCTCAAATACGTCAAAAGACAGAGCGGCCCCTTTAAATGAATCCCTGGAATTGCCCTCTGGAAGGTTTGGAAATGCATTCCCTGCTTGGAAATGCCTTCCAGAGGCAATCTGGAGCAAGATTCCAGGTGCAGCCTGAGCCAGCAGCATCATTTTAGGAAGAAAATGTGGCTCCTGGGTGCATCTGACAGCTGAGCCCTGGGAAATCTCCGTGTTCCACGTCTGTGTTTGGGCTCCCATCCCATTTCCCATCTGTTCCCGTGGATTCCAGGGGGTGGATGTGGATGCTCCATGGGAAAGGTGGGAATTGCCAGGAAAACAAACAGAAAATGGAAGGAGAGGAGGAAAATCTTTACCTGCTGAAGTCAGGCTCTGCCTTCACCACATCACTGAAAAACATGGCAGCCTGGGGAGCAAAGGCAGAGCTCAGAGGTTTTCCAGGGAAAAGGGCTCCGTTTCCAGGGGGGGTTGTGGAATTCATGGCCCCACAGAGGGCAGGGCTGCCAGGGAGGGGAGGGAGGAGCCCTTTACCTGCTCTCTGGTCCATGGCTTGTTGTTGAGATCCTGCACGTTTGGCTTCTCTTCCCCAAAAACCAGCAGGGATTTTGGGATGGAGCTGGCCAGAGCACTGGGAATGAGTCTAACCAGCTCAGAGGGGTGGCCAACTCTGGAGGAAACCTTGGAGAAACCCAAGAGAACAAACCATGGCCATCTCACTTCAGTGAGATTTGCTTCAGTGCAAACCACGGCACGATCAGAACCAGAGAATTATTTGGGTTGGAAAAGCCCCTCCAGGACCAAGTCCAACCTTGAATTATTCTGCTCCATTAACATCCTCCCACTGGGAAGCAGCTTCTGGGAGCAACCCCACGACACAAATCCCTCCTGGCCTTGTCCCCAAGAGGCTGAGCAGGCCAGGGACAGTGACAGCACCGGAGTGGCCCTGTCCTGCTGCCACCCTGCCAGGCTGTGCCCATCCCACAGGGAACGCTGCCGGGGCGGGCAGCTGTGCCACAGCTGGCCCAGGTGAGCTGTGCCCCGCTCCTGCTCCTGGCTGAGCACACAAAACAAGGTCACCTTTTCCACCAGGGTCCTCTTCAGAGCCGAGGGCAGGGCGTCCACGTGCTGGGAGAAGCCTGGCAGCTGGATGGCCTCCAGGACAACCTCTGGGGACAAACTCCTGAGCATGCTGCTGTTGAGGCCGGCCACCAAGGTGCCCAGCTCTGCCAGGCTCTGTCCATCCAGGATCTGCCAGGGAATCCCAGGAAAAAATCAGCTTGGAAAAGAAGACCTTTGAGACCCTCGACCCCACCTGGTCCCCAGCCCAGAGCTCTGAGTGCTCATGCCTTAAGCTTGAACTTTTACATTTTCCAGATTCTGCATTGGTTTCTAACTCTGAACTCCATATAAAGTGTCAGCAAGTTCTCCTCACAGCTCAGCCACACAAAGCAATCCTTTTCTTTTTCAGATTAAGCCCTTTTCTGACCCAGAGATGGGGTTGCTGAGAGGTGTTTTATAAACTTTTATTCCATTTTCAGTCTCGTGTGAAGGGTGAGACAATACAGATGTTGTCATTCACACCACCACAATCAAAATTTAACTATTTCCTAATTGCAATACATAATAAGTATTTCTTGGGCTAGCAGTTTCAGCCACACCATGCTGTAAATTCCTTAAAGTTAATAATCTAAAATTACCCCTTGTGAGTCCTACTATAATGCATCTTTCACAGTCCTATTCCTCCAAAGTATCCAGTCTTATTTGCAAGGCCATCATTTAAAACTTGTTTCTAGTTCCATTTCTCTCTCTCAACAATGCCTGTTTCTCTAGAAGTTCGTATTTCACTACAAATGCTTCTCTACAAATTCATTTCCTGCATTTTTCCAGCCCCAGAACCAAGGACACCGCTGCAGCTTCAGCCCCAAAAGTGCAAACAACAGGGAATTGAGGAGAGCAGTCCGGGAGGATGGGACTGCATCATCTGAGCTGGAATTGGACAATGAACCCCAAGGTGGAAATGGACCAAAACTGATAAAAGTGTGAAATCTCCTGACCCATTGTCCATCTTGGGGGTAGCCACAGCCAGGCTCTTGTGCTGCCCAAGGTGTATCCACAGAATTCACAGAATCCCCAGGTTGGGAAAGATCTCCAAGACCACAGGTGTATCCACAGAATTCACAGAATCCCCAGGTTGGGAAAGACCTCCAACATCATCGAGTCCAGCCCAGCCCCAACCCCTCAGCTCAACCCTGGCCCCCAGTGCCACATCCAGGCTTTGTTAAACACACCAGGGATGGGGAGTGCAGCCATTCCAGAACTTTATCACCTTTCTGTAAAAAACTTTTTCCTAATACCCCACCTGAATTTCCCTTGGAGCAGTTTGAGGCTGTGTGCTCTGGTTGTGTCAGAATCCTTTGAAGTCCCTTTAATAAATCCCACACCCCACCTGAATTTCCCTTGGAGCAGTTTGAGGCTGTGTGCTCTGGTTCTGTCAGAATCCTTTGAAATCCTTTTAATAAATCCTGACTTTACTCCTTGAACTCTGCCCACCCTCTGTCCCAGGCTGCCTCTCAACGCACCAGAGCCACCTCCAGACATCCCTTGGACACCTCCAGGATGAGGATTCCCAACCTCCCTGGGCACTCCCAGTGCCTGAAACCCTTCCCAGGAGGAGGATGTGAGGAGCTCAGTACCTGGTAGCCAGAGAGGAGCAGTTTGCTGACCACAGCCCTGGCCTGCTCAGCCCTCCAGCCCTGGACTGTCCCCAGGGCAGGCAGAGCTGCCTCCAGCTGCTCCTCAGGGATGCTCTCCTGGATCCTGGAGACCGAGAGCCCCAGGGCAGCCTGGCCCAAGGCTCCCAGCTCGGCTGGGGACAAATCATCCAAATTCCTCAGCAGGGAGGCTGCCACCTGTGAGACAGAGCAGAGTCAGAGCAGCAGCGATGGATCCCACAGCCTTAAATCCCTGGGTTTCTGCTCAGGTTTGCCCGTGGATGTGTGGAAGAGGTTTTACACAACTTCTGTGAGCCAGAGAGGACTTTGAGAAGAGGATCCATGGTTGTCCCTGAAAGAATTTCCAACCAAGGTTGTTGACAGAGAAATCAAGAAAGAAAAAAGGAGAAATAAGAGAAACCAAGAAAGACAGAAGAAATAAGACAGAAGAAATAAGACAGAAGAAATAAGAGAAAACAAAAAAGACAGAAGAAATTATAAGAGAAACCAAGAAAGAAAGAAGGAGAAATAAGAGAAACCAAGAAAGAAGAAATAAGAGAAACCAAGAAATACAGAAGGAGAAATAAGAGAAACCAAGAAGAAATAAGAGAAACCAAGAAAGAAAGAAGAAATAAGAGAAACCAAGAAAGAAATGAGAAATAAGAGAAACCAAGAAGAAATAAGAGAAACCAAGACAGAAAGAAGAAGAAATAAGAGAAACCAAGAAAGAAAGAAGAAATAAGAGAAACCAAGAAAGACAGAAGAAGAAAAAAGAGAAACCTGCAATTCTCTATCCCAATGAGCACTTTGTTTGTCTTTCCTGACCAACGAGTGAAGTGTAAGCTTGGGAGTTTTGTAAGAATGTACAAAAATGCAGGAATATTGCATGCATAAATTCATGCAGGAATAAAGACAGCTTGAAGCCTTCTGGCAATGGGGTGCTGCTTTGCACTGTGTCCCTCCCAAAGTGCACGGACCATTCCCACCCCTGAGCCCCGTGAGGTGACAAAAGCCCAGCCAGACACCACAACAGAGACACGGGGTGACCCAGAGGAGGGTGACAAGAGGGGACACAGAGCTGGGCACCACCACCCCCGGCAGGTTGTGTGCAGCTGAGAGGATGCCCAGGTGCTCACCTGCAGCTCCCGAGGTGCCAGGGAGGCTCGGGGCATCCCCCTGCTCCAGGGGCAGCTCCTCCCGAGCCTCTGGGCCACTCCCAAAGCCTCCTCCCTGCTCAGGTTGGCCACTGCCCCGGGGCTCAGGTGACAAATAAACCTGTCCGGGAGGCTGCGGGGGGGAAAGGAGAGGCTGGCTCAGAGACCTTCCCTCTGCTCCAGGGGATGTCCTTCTCCAGGCACCTTTCTCCATCCTTTCAGCTCCGCTGGTGCCGAAGCTGCAGCTCAGGGAGCTGGAAAAGCCTGGGAGCACTGCAGGGAAATCGTGTCCCAGGAAAAGAACTGGGGATTGGCCCTCCTCGAGGGCAAGGGCAGTGGGGTTACCTGAAAATGGAGCCCTCAAAGAGAAAATGAATGGAACCTTTAAAGGGAAAATGAATGGAACCCTTAAAGGGAAAATGAAGAGAACCCTTAAAGAAAAAATGAGTAGAACCTTTAAAGGGAAAATTAATAGAACTTTTAAAGGGAAAATTAATAGAACCTTTAAAGAGGAAATTAATAGAACCTTTAAAAAGGAAATTAATAGAACCTTTAAAGGGAAAATTAATAGAACCTTTAAAGAGATAATTAATAGAATCTTTAAAGAGAAAAAGAATGGAACCTTTAAAGGGAAAATGAATGGAACCTTTAAATAAAAAATTAATAGAACCCTTAAAGAGAAAATTAATGAAAACTTTAAAGGGAAAATTAATGGAACATTTAAAGGGAAAAAGAATGGAACCTTTAAAGAGGTACCTGTCCGGGAGGCTGCGGGGAAAATTAATAGAATCTTTAAAGAGGAAATTAATAGAACCTTTAAAGAGGAAATTAATCAACAGTGCCAGGCTGAGCCAGATGCCCTCAGATCCATACCTGGACAGTGGAAAGGCAGGAGCAGAGGTCAGGAGCTGGGTGTAGTACAGGGCAGTCTCCCTGAGCAAGGTGAGGTTCCCAACCATCTCCATATTCACCGGGTCCCTGGCGAATTTTTGAAGCTGAAGGGTGGAAAAAAATAACAAGGGAAAATGGTTCAGATGGATCCTTCAGTCCTGACAGTGACACGGGACAGTTTGAGCCAGCCTCAGGGCTTTTCACCTGGGTTTAAAGTTGTGCTGAGGTTTATTTTGGTTTTATTTTCAAGTAAACACTGCGACCTGGTTGCTCCTCTCACTGACTCCAGTTTGCTCCCTGCAGAATTCCCTTTGTGAAACCAACTTCTGTGCAAATCCCTCTCATCACAGGATGGGGAGAAATAACTGCAGTGACTGTGCACCCCAGATTAGCCAGAGAAATGTTCCTGCTGGCAGGAATTCCGAGGGCAGGCGGGACAGGGATCGGAGAACGTGGCTGGGGCTGGAATGGGATGGGTGACCCTTAAATCCTTCCAACCCCACCATCCTGGGGCTCTGGATTTGCTCAGGGCAGGACTGTGACCCCCCCAGGGTCCCCACTCACTGTGGCTTCATCCCCAAAAAGCTGCAGGTCCTCCACGGTGGCGTGCTCCAGGAAGGAGCCCAGGAAATTCCGAAACCAGGCAGTGGAATTGAGGCTGGGAATGGCCTGGCTGTGGCAGCTCTGGGTGGGTCCTGCAGGCAGGAATGCAGGAACAGAGAAACCATGGAGCCACAGTCAGAAATGCAGGAACAGAGAAACCATGGAGCCACAGTCAGAAATGCAGGAACAGAGAAACCATGGAGCTGCAGGAACACAGAAATGCAGGAACAGAGAAACCATGGAGCCACAGTCAGAAATGCAGGAATAGAGAAGCCATGGAGCTGCAGGAACACAGAAATGCAGGAACACATATCCTATGGAGCTACAGTCAGAAATGCAGGAACAGAGAAACCATGGAGCTGCAGTCAGAAATGCAGGAACAGAGAAACCATGGAGCTACAGTCAGAAATGCAGGAACACAGAAATGCAGGAACAGAGACCCCATGGAACTACAAACAGACAGGAATGCAGGAACACAGACTTTTAAAATCTTAAAAAGAAGTGCCTGGCGTTTTTCACCCCCCTGTGCCAGGTCCTTTACCGTGCTGGGTGAGGAAATACTTGATCCCAGAGTAGAGATTCCTCTGCTCCTCCACAGAAAGCTGGGAATAGATTCCATCCAGGGCAGCCACTCTGCCAAAGGAAGGGAAACACCTCAAACCTTGCTGAGGCAGGGCCTGGGCTCTCACAAAAACATGGATATTCTCAAGCCCATCCTTTTCTGTTGGATTAAGCCCTTTTCTGACCCAGAGATGGGGCAACTGAGAGGTGTTTTATAAACATTTTATTTTAAAAATGTTAAAAAAACCATTTTATAAATGTTTTTATTCCGTTTTCAGTCTCATGAGAAGGGTGAGACCATACAGGTGTTATAATTCACACCATCACAATCAGAAGCCATTGTGTTGTCATTTCCTAGCTGTAAAAAAACCAGTCTGTTGTCATTTCCTAATTCCAACACACCACAAGCATTCCTTGGCCTGTCTAGAATATTTCTAAATCAACATTTCTTATCTCAAAATTGATATGTATAAACACAGACAATACAAACCTTTAATTAAACTTCAAAGATCTTCTACAAATCCACTTCCCACCCTTTTCCAAAGTGATTTTGCCCCCCACACAAAGAGGAGCCCCCAGGGCGTGGCTCTGGTGGCACAGAGGGGACATTCCACACTCACAGCAGCTGGAATTCCTCACAGGACACATCCTTGGCAAGGAGGCAGCCAAAGACCTGGGGATCCACCAGGAATGGCTCAAGGCCCTCGTGGAGCCACTGGAGCAGCACTGGGGGGGTCTCAATCCCGGGCACTCGGAGCATCCTCTCCCACAGACCATTGAGGAAAACCAGGCTCCACTCCAGGGAAAGGGGCACCTGGGAAAACTGGGGGCGAGGGGAGGAGAAAAACCCCTGAATTCCAGGGAATTCTAACCACACACCCACAGAAATCCAAGCAAATCCCAATGCTGAATTGAATCTGTTGTCTCGGATGGGGCTCTTTCCAAAATAAGGTTAAAAAAATAAACAGGGGGTTTGAAAGGAAGGCTTTTCCTGAGCAAAAATTCCCTGGATTGGAGGGAATTCCATTTGAGGGAAGGCTCACCTGCTGGCTGAACATGGTCAGGGAGGCCAGAAGCTTCCTGGCATCATATTTGGAAAAGAACAGCATGGAATATTCTGGATCCATGGCTGTGCTGGGTTTAGAGGCCAGGCAGGAATATAAGGATGTGAGGAAATCATCCTGAAGGTCCTGGAGCCAGGCTCCCTGGGAAAGAGAAGGGAAATGCAAATAAAGATCATTTTTAGGGAGGAAATCACCCTCAGGGGGCTCATCCACACCTGGGCATTTGTCCAGCTTTATCCAAAAAAAAAAAAACCACCCCCAAAATTGCCAAAATTTTGCCCAAATTTCAAAAATATTTGCTCTAACTAGAAACTTCCATGGGGAACTCTCTAATTCCCAAACATTTTTTCAGGGAAATGGATTACAAGCAGCAGAAGACAAAAACAAAACCAAGAAAAAACAAACACCAAAAAATCCCAAAACCCCCGCTGATAAATGTTTGCAGGAGTGCCATCTTTCTGTCAGACATATTTATTGAAAAACACAAATTGCTGCCAATTTAATTGCAATTACTGGCAATTAAGAGATAATGACAAAACCAGGGAAGAATGCAAACCTGGAATAGTCAGGTGGCATTTTCCACACTGCAACCACTTCCAATTGTAATTTTACCCCTTTTAATTGTGTTTTTACCACTCCTAGTTGTGCTTTTACCCCTTCTAATCGTGCTTTTACCCCTTTTAATTGTAATTTTACCCCTTTCAATTGGGTTTTTACCCCTTCCAATTACTCTTTTATGCCTTGAATTGTGTTTTTACCCCATCTAATTCTGTTTTTGCCGCTCCTAGTTGTGTTTTACCCTTTTTAATAATGTTTTTATCCCTTTTAATTGTGTTTTTACCCCTCGAATTGTGCTTTTACCCCTTTTAATTGTGCTTTATCCCAACGGCCCAGGGTGACTTTCCTGCAGAGATTCATTCCAATGCTGTGACACCAATTTTTAAGAGTCAATTTGATTTGCAAAGTCCCTTTGCCCCAGCTTCCTCCTCGCTCCAGGGGTTTGGAGAGGGAAATCCCCAATTCCCAAAGGTCTCCGTGGTGGGTTGGGCACTCCTGAGCCCCAGGCACAGGGCAGGTGTCCCCTGGAGGGTGGCACTGCCACGGCTCAGGGTGACAACCTGGGCACAGCTTTGGCTGCTCCGCCAGGTTTGAAGCGGAGAATTCCCAAGGAAAACAAATGCCAGCCCCGTGGGAAGCAGGGATTGAGGGTCCTCACCTGGGCACAGGCCAGCTGGCCAAAGCTGAGGCTGCACGGGGACCTTCGGCCTCGGGCCACCTCCAGGAGCTGCTCCTGGCTGGCTCTGGGGAACAGGGACAGCGTGGGATGGGGAACAGGGAGGATGGGAATGGGAATGGGGAACAGGGACAGTGTGGGATGGGGAACAGGGAGAGGATGGGAATGGGGAACAGGGACAGCATGGGATGGGGAACAGGGACAGCGTGGGATGGGGAACAGGGAGAGGATGGGAATGGGAATGGGGAACAGGGACAGTGTGGGATGGGGAACAGGGAGGATAGGAATGGGGAACAGGGACAGGATGGGAATGGGGAACTGGAGAGGATGGGAATGGGAATGGGGAACTGGGAGAGGATGGGAATGGGAATGGGGAACTGGGACAGCGGGGGATGGGGAACAGGGAGAATGGGAATGGGGAACAGGAACAGGGACAGCGTGGGATGGGGAACAGGGAGGATGGGAATGGGGAACAGGGACAGCGTGGGATGGGGAACAGGGAGAGGATGGGAATGGGGAACTGGAGAGGATGGGATGGGAATGGGGAACAGGGACAGTGTGGGATGGAGAACTGGGACAGCATGGGATGGGGAACTGGGAGAGGATGGGAATGGGAAAACTGGGAGAGGATGGGAATGGGAAAACTGGGAGAGGATGGGAATGGGAAAACTGGGAGAGGATGGGAATGGGGAAACTGGGAGAGGATGGGAATGGGGAACTGGGAGAGGATGGGAATGGGAGAAACTGGGGCAGAATGGGCTGGGAGTGGGGAAACTGGGAAAGGATGGGATTGGAATGGGGGAACTGGATAGGAACTAGGGCAGAACGGGATGGGAACTGGGGCAGAACTGGGTGGGGAACAACTGGGTGGGGTCAGAACCAGTGGGGAACTTGGGGGAAAACTGGAAGGGATCTGGGGCAGAACTGGAAGAGGGCACAAGCAGTGGGGAGCTGGGCACCAGACTGGGTGGGGCAGGACTGGGGGGCACTGGGCAGGACTGGGGGGGCAGCTGAGAGCAGGAGAGGCCGGGGACAGATCAGATCTGGCTGGGGACAGATCCAGCTGTGAAGTGGCACCCCTCAGCAGCCCAGAGCACAGCTGGACACAGCACCCAAAGGCTCCTGAGTGCCCCTGAGCAGGTTTTCTGTCCCCCCAGGCAGGGCCAGCTCCCAGGAAGGATCCAGCCCTCCAAGATGAGCAGGGCACAGAGGGACAGGGCAGGACGAGGGTGCTGGCACAGGGACAGGCAGGGGGGCACTGCTGACCCTCAGGCACAGAGCAGGTTGAGTGAGGTCTGGAGTGGAGCTGTTTGAGCCCCACTTGGAGCCAAGATAAGCTCAGCACCGGTGCCAAGGCTCTTGGCTGCTCCCCAGGGCCTGGCCCTGCCTTTCTTTGTCCTTCCCAGGCACAAATCCCCAGCAGGGCACTTTCCCTTCACTGTTTGAACAAGTGCAACCAGAGCCCTCCCTGCCCACGGGCAACCCCAGGGGAAAAATCCCAAAATCTGGGCTCAGAGGGATGTGGTCACCCCAAGAAAGCAGAATCCCTCCCAAGGAAATGCCACAGTCCCTGGGGATGGCTCACCTACCTCTGCACTGAGGCACACACGGCAGATTCTGAGCCCCAGAAGGAAAAAAAGAGACAAAGGTAAGGAATTGTGAGAGGATTTGGCACACAGAGCCCTCTCTGAGCTTTCCTGACAAATATTTGGAAAGGAACTCACCATTGACAGGGGAGCTGGAGCACTGCACCAGGAGGGAGAGAAAAGAGATGGGGTTAAAATGCAGCTCTGAGATGATTTGTGAGCACTGCAGAGACTGGTGGGAGCCCTTTGGATTGGGATGGGACCTGGGAACACTGAAACCCCAAATCCTGAGGACATCCAAATCCCAAATCCTGAGCACACCCAAATCCCAAATCCTGAGCACACCCAAACCCCAAATCCTGAGCACACCCAAACCCCAAATCCAGAGCACACTGAACCCCCAAATCCTGAGCATACTCACTGAAATCCCAAATCCTGAACACACTGAAATCTCAAACCCTGAGCACACCCAAACCCCAAGCACACTGAACCCCAAGTCCTGAGCACACTGAAACCCCAAATCCTGAGCTCCCAAATCCTGAGCACACTGAACCCCAAATCCTGAGCACACCCAAATCCCAAACCCTGAGCACACTGAACTCCAAACCCCGAGCACACAGAACCCCAAACCCTGAGCACACAGAACCCCAAACCCCGAGCACACTGAACCCCAAATCCTGAGCACACCCAAATCCCAAACCCCGAGCACACAAAACCCTGAGCACACTGAGCCCCAAACCCCGAGTACACTGAGCCCCAAATCCTGAGCACACCCAAACCCCAAACCCCGAGCACACTGAACCCCAAACCCAGGACACACTGAACCCCAAACCCTGAGCACACCCAAACCCCAAACCCCGAGCACACTGAACCCCAAACCCAGGACACACTGAACCCCAAACCCTGAGCACACCCAAACCCCAAACCCCGAGCTGCAGGTCAGCCCCTGGCCCCGTGCCCATCGGGGTGCCAGGGCAGTGCCAGGGCAGTGCCAGCCCATCCCACACTCAGCCAAGCTCTGCTGCTCTGCTGTGCTCCCAGAGCAAGGCGAGCTGCCACGGCCGGATCTTTGCATCCCCCAGCCCAAACCACCCTGGAAGGTTTTAACCACCCACGTTGGAATTTTTGGTGTAAATCTGCCTTACCAGCTCTGTCCCAGCAGCAGCAGCTCCCTGGCACCCTGCAAGACAAGATTTGGGATCAGAGCCAGCCCAGAGCTCCTTCCCAGCCCCCTCAGCTCCCTGAAGGATTCCAGAGTTCATTTTCTGCTGGATTCTGGTTTTTTTTCTGATTCAGAGTTGAGGTAACTGAGAGGTGTTTTCAAAATTTTATTCTATTTTTAGTCTCATGTGAAGGGTGAGACAACACAAATAATTTAGGCTATTATGGAATATATTATATTAATATATACAGAATGTAATGTAATATAGTATATATTTGTATATATTAATATAGTGTATATTATGATAGTGCATATTAATGTATCAATACATTATTTATGTATAATATATAAATATATTATTGATATATAGTATATAATACATTAATGTATTATATATTATATATAATATAACATATAATATAATAATATATCATATAGTATATACAATAATATATAATATATTATAAATAATAGCATATAATAATATATTATCTATATAAAAATAAATTATATCATATACAAATAAATACATTTTAATAATTTATATCATATAGCAGTGGGACGAGGGCAGGGACAGGGAGGGGACACAGAGGGGGCTCTGCTCTCCACAGGTCTGATCCAGGGGTGGCTTTGCTGCTGTGGATGAGTCCACAACCCAAAACCTGCATTAGGAAAGGGGTCCTAAAGCAGCTTGGATGAGCACAACACCTGCATTGCCTTCATTAGCACAACGCCTTCCTCAGTTACCTCATTTTTAATCATTTCATTAATGCAGAGCAGTCACTAATTAACAGCCAAAGGAACCTTCCCCTAACGGGGGCAGGGCCCAGGGAACGGCTCCCACTGCCCAGGGCAGGGCTGGGTGGATGCTGGGAACTGGGAATCATTCCCTGGCAGGGTGGGCAGGGCCTGGAACGGATTCCCCATCCCAGGAATGAATTCCCCATCCCTGGAAAGGATTCTCCATCCCTGGAAAGGATTCCCCATCCCTGGAAAGGATTCCCCATCCCTGGAAAGGATTCCCCCATCTGTGGAATGGATTTCCCATCCGTGGAATTAATTCCCCATCCCAGGAATGGATTTCCATCCCTGGAACAG